TTTTTTTTTTTTTTATGGGAGAAGTTAATTTTTTTGTAAATTTACTTCGGCCACGACAGTAAATGCGACGACGAACGATTATTAACGATTTCAGATTTCTGACGCTTACAGAAAGAACGATGCAACAAGTCTCCTTCGCCGAGTTTCTAGGATGCACGCTGGATATATGTCTCGTTGGGTATTACGTAATCATGGTACAATGTCTCATGAATTTGCTTCATTATCTTAGATTAGTAATGTGATTAGTACGTATTTATTTTTTAGTATATATTAGTATATATTTTTACTATCTGTATTATTATTAATATAATTATTTTATTATATATTTATTTTTACTTTAGTAATTAAGAGTTTAGTAAGATTTTTAGATTAATTTATTATTCTAATAATCTCGATAATAATCTCAGATCTTAGAACATACAAATTCTCGTTTGACATTTATAGGAATTGAAATCGAACGATGTCACAAGCGCCGTAACTTACATGATTTTACTTGTATCACTTACATTCAATATTTTCATATTTTGTTACATAGGTGAAATGGTCGCTGACGAGGTGAGTTGCTTCAAATTAATTTTCTGCTTGTTAGAAATATGGAAATTGTGCTTGAGTGGGAAATATTTTAACGAAAAAAAAAAAAAAAAAAAAATAACACGACAGTGTAGGAAAATCGGCGAAATGTCGTACATGATCGAGTGGTACCGATTGCCAGGGAACAAGAAGCTATGTTGCGTTTTAATCATCGCTATGTCGAATTGTTCAATAAAATTAACAGCTGGGAACATCGTAGACCTGACGATCAGCACGTTTACCGATGTAAGTATCAAATTGCGATCGTCATTTCTTTTACTTTCAACAACTAAACGAGATATTTTTGAACGAACAGGTTGTTAAGACAGCAGTCACTTTTTTAAACGTACTACGTAAAACAACTTGAACGACTGTTCTTTAATGCGAAGACTTTTTTATAATCGTTGATGTATACTACTGTTATATCACATGCTTCATGGTGTTTTTATACATGTTAAACATTACTTGTCTCGAATATCGACAGTGTTCTTGCTGTTTAAAAGGAGTGAAAATGCATGTTTTACAAAGGTGTTGAAAAATAAACAAAATATTATGCATTGAAGAATCTTTGGACTACACGTCACATCCTGTGAAATTCTTTAAATCCATTTTGTACAGAACATACTCTTTAAGAACAGACTGGAAATCTAATTTCATCACATTTACTTATGAAAAGAATTATTTCAAACATTTACGGTTAAAGAGCCATTCTTGAACGTAAAGAATCAATTCAGTCTCCACTTTTCATCTGTGAATGATCAGGTTATTTAATTTTATTCAATTCCGCGAGCCAATCATAAATGAAAGAACTCACGTTACCGTGAACATCATCAAGCAATTCTGTACTACTGACGTTAAAAAGAAATCGATCTATCGATGTTTCTATACGACTGTCTTGCCACATTCATAATGTAACAAGAAACGTACGAACGGGAAAGGGGTTCGTTTCATAAGGGGTAACTTTTATTCCACCCTCCCTAGAAAAATTACTAACGCATCGACATCTCGCAGCTTTCAAGCGAGAGAAATCATATCGCTGTCAATCAAATCTGCCGACGGAAAATTACAAGGACATAAACATCAATGAAGTGGCTGGATTTTAAAACCAATTGGTATCTGGCCGATTTCTCGAAACGTTTTCATGAGAGAAAAATATGTTCGTCTGCCAATAAATGTCATCGATTGTTGTCTGATTATTAATTGAAAGCTTTTACGTAACTCTCGAACGTTTATAGTTAAAATTAAAGTATTCGGTTCGTTGAGCTTCTGCGTAATGATCTTTTTTTTTTACAGTATTGATTTTTCATCTTTCGCGAGAATTATTATATTACGTACTCTAAAGACAAAGATATCATAGTAACGAGTGTAAATTTTAGAAAGAGAGTAGTACATGTATAGCATTTGAATGGGGTTTGCTCCTTCGAAATGAAATGAATGAAATAATATTTTCCATTTAATTTGTATCTGATAAATAATAATATCAGTGCAATAGTTTGTAGATTGATTGCTACACATATTTGTCATAAATACTTACAGCCAATATGTGGCTTGATGATTTTGATGTCTCGTTTGATCGCCAAGATCATTACTGGCAATATCATCGAAATTTCGCCCAATAGTGTTGATTATGTAAGTATCTCACGAACATCTGCAACATTTAATTTTGCCATAGTTGAGGATATTACATCTGTTTCGTACAAAACAAAGAAAAATAATGTACATAAATAAAAATACAGTATAAGAAAATAATAATATATGTTTGTTCGATATCTGACATTTCATATTGACATGAAAGGCAGTCCATCTCTTTTTAAGGAAAAGAAATTTCTAAAGAAAATTATATGAACAGGGGGGGAAAAGTTATCTATAGACTGATTTCCTAAAACCGCACAGCACTATTAGTAATGTTTCGCTGACGTGTCTGAGGACATCGATTTATCCATTGTCAACATTCTCTCCTCATTCATAATGTACATAAACTAAACTCCCTAGAAGGGTAAAAGTGAACGCGAACAATAAAAACTTTCGTCCTCCCTTCTCGACTGAAAGTAGAAAATCGAACTAAGCCGCGCCGTTCATTTTCTCTTTGAACTATCATCGGGCTACTTAGTCCTAGACGAGCATTCGAACATCAAGCATGCAAAAGTCAGAGATGAACATGAAATCATCCCGCTTGATAGACTACAATTACGAGGAATACGTGAATTTGAGTATCAAGTGGAGTCGTTGGCTACTGAAACACCTGTGTCTTTGGCCGTATTCAAATCCCATTTCAAGATTCAGGCAATACCTACACCGGCTGATAAACATCATCTGTTACACTATACTCAGTTCTCCCTTTGTATTCTGCAGCACGTTCATTTATTTCGAGGTGGACGATATTTACAATAAACTGAAACAATCCGGCCCGCTGGTTTTCAGTACGATGGCGTTCATGAAGTATTACTTCATGGTCGTTCACAGGGCTGACATCAGCGAATGTGTGGAGCGAATCAAATGGGACTGGAAGAACACGACGAACGACAGTGACCGTGAGATTATGATAGCGAACGCGAACTTCGGACGAAGATTAGTAGTCATCTGCACGTTCTTCATGTACAGCGGCTTCGTCTTTTATAACATTGTCATACCTTTTAGCGTGGGCAGAGTAACAGCGGAGGATGCGAATGTTACCTTCGTTCCACTGATATTCCCTTTCACGAGCTACGTTGCTGACGCGCGTTACAGCCCTCTGAACGAGATCGTTTTCTCTGTTCAAGTGTTGGCTAGCTATCTGATGCACAGTGTAGCGTCGGCGGCTTGCAGTTTAGCAGCTGTCCTCGCCGTTCACACTTGCGGTCAAATGCAGGTGTTGATGAACTGTCTGAGGCATCTGATAGACGGCCGATCCGACATGAGCGAACGTGTAGATGGCAGAATCGCTGACATCGTGAGCCAACATGTACGAGTCTTGAAGTATGTAATTGTTTATTGTTTCACCGTGGCGTTTAATTTTTTTTTGGCACTTCCCTGCCTTTCCTCCTATTTTGACCATGATGATGGGTGATTTCAGATTTCTGTCGCTTACAGAAAAAACGCTGCAACAAATTTCGTTCGCCGAGTTTCTGGGATGCACGCTAGATATATGTCTCATTGGATATTACGTGATCATGGTATACTCTGTTCTTTTGTAAGCTTGAGAGACCGAAGTCTGCACTCGATGATCCCAGATTTCAAATCTGAATTTGTAGGAATTGAAGTCGAACGACGTGACGAACGCCGTAACATACATGATTTTGCTTGTATCGTTTACGTTCAATATTTTCATATTTTGTTACATAGGCGAAATAGTGGCTGAAGAGGTGAGTTACTTTCGAATCTTTCAGTGACGATGTGAGAATCGTTGTGCTTGGATGAAAAATACTTTGACGATTGAAAATGACACCATAGTGTAGGAAAGTCGGTGAAATTTCGTACATGATCGAGTGGTATCAGCTGTCAGGGAACAAGAAGCTGTGCTGCGTTTTAATCATCGCCATGTCGAATTGTTCGACGAAATTAACAGCTGGAAATATCGTGGAATTGTCCATAAGCACTTTTTCTGACGTAAGTGACGAATCATTATCACTATGTACTTACACCTTTACAAACTAATCGATGTATTTCCTATCTAAACAGGTGGTTAAAACGTCGGTTGCTTTTTTGAACGTACTGCGTACGTTGACTTGAACATTCTTTGAATTGCAATTTTTTGGTGTAGAATTTATTATAACGAGTAATATTTTCTATTTTTTTTTTCAAAAATAATAATCTTCTGTTTTGTTAAAACTAAATGTCGTGTGTCTCCGTTGTGAAATTAAAACCAAGTGAATGAATTGCAAGTAACACTGTCTGAATCCTCCTCGTAATTTCATATTTTTATTTAGGAAGTGAGATGATAGTACGTACGTAATAATTGTGGACTGGCAGTTGGAGATAGTCACATTTTTCATGTTTTGCAACAGAAATGCTAAGTGTCGATTAATCTCACGTTATCAAAATTGCCTTTTGACTTTTCCATACTCTGCAACTTCAACAATTGCACGTTCAACCTCTTACTTTATCAAATGTATCTTTATTATTCTTCCTCATTTTTTACGATAAAATATTACCATTTAATCATTACGTTAAAATGAAAAAAAAAATCACTAAAAATGTACTGACCACACTTTTTCCCTGTTGTCCTCGAGTAATTCCTAGAAATATCTCTATTCACTGACGACTGCTGACGTTAAAAAAAAGAATCAATCTATCGTCGTCTATACGCGATTCTCTCGCTGGCATAATGCATAACAAGAGACGTACAGAGACGGGGAAGTGTTTATTCCGTAGGGGATAATAACTTTTATTCTACCCTTCCATTTGCAATCTTTCTACCCTTCTATGCAACAAGCATTGAGTCAATATCAGTGGAGCTTTTTAGCAAGGAAAATCATATCGTCTGTCAAAATCGATTAAAATTACAAAAGGAACATAAAGTTAAGCATTGCCGGTAGAGGCAACCGATTTCACGATAGAAAAATATCTTCATCTGCTAGCAATCATTGTAACCTGATCATTGGCTGGAAGTTTGTAACTCTCGAAATAGAAGACTTCCGTAGTTTACAACAGTTTACAACAGAACTGAAATATTTTGAATAATTTGTCGAACTTCTGTGTATTTAAAGTATCATCTCTTGACTGGACAAATTCCATGTAGTCTAATGACAGAGAAATCATGATCACGAACGCGAATTTTGGAAGAAAATTAATAGCTATTCGCACCTTTTTCATGTATAGCGAATTTCATTATGGTATACTTACAGTGAATATCTATACTTTGATAATTTCAACGTATCTCGTTCGACTACAATGATCACTGCTGGCAAAGTCATCAAACGTTGGTAATACAAGTGTCTCACGAACATCTGCAATATTTAACCTTGCTATAATTATCGATTTCTTCTACAAATTTTCATGTAATGTTATAGGTCATCAAGATCTACCTGAACATACTACGAACAGTCTCAATGTTTTTCTTTCAGAATGACGTCGGTGATAAACTTGATATTACGATATTCTCACAATGAACATCAAAGAAACATTTGACTTTTTTTATACTGATATTTTTAGACGAAAGAAGTTTCTAAAGAAAACAATGAAATTATACAATACAGTGTAATATACTAGAATTAAGTAGTCAAATGAACTTCACTTTAAAACAGAAGAAGAATATTTGGAGAATTACTCCATCATACGAAGAGCCGCATCATACGTCTTTTAATTATTCAAACGTTCAAAAAAATCAATCAAATTTATAATTATAAATATGGTATATAACAATCAATACTCCAACGTAAATACCAAATAACAATTACTCTATCTCACGACTAAATGATGAATAACACTGATGATAGAAAGTTATATGCATAACTTCATCTCTTCGACATGTTCGCTTTGTTGAGAAATATGAAAACACGGAAAGAAAGGAATCATCTGATGATAGACTGACTAAATTCTCTAAAACCGTACCCTCGTCATTAATGATGTTTCACTGACATGTCGAAGGAATCAATTTATCGATGTTCCACTGCCAACTTTCCTCCTCATTCATAATGAAACGTAAAACTGAACCCTTGCTCGAAGGGTGAAAGTAAACGCAGAGAATAACTTTCGTCGTCCCTTCTCGATTGAAACGAGCAAATCGGGCGCAGGCGCATCGTTTAGTTGTCCTTCGAACCGTTCATCGGACGATTTAGTGTTGGGACGAGCATTCAAGCATCGAGCATGCAAAAGTCAAAGTTCAACATCGAAACATCTCGTTCGATAGACTACGAGCACGAGGAACACGTGAACCTGAGTATCCAATGGAATCGTTTGTTTCTGAGACCCATTGGCCTCTGGCCGTATTCAAATTCAAGATTCGAACAGTACCTCTACTGGTTCATAAATATCATCTGTTACAGCCTGCTCAGCTTTCGCTTGATATCCTGCGTTTTGTTCATGTACTACGAGGTGAGAGATACGTACATTATACTGAAACAGTCCGGGCCGCTGATTTTCTGTGTGATGGGCATCGTGAAATATTGCACGTTGATCGATCACAAGTCTGACATCAGCGAATGCGTGGAGCAAATCAAACTGGACTGGAAGAACACGACGAATAACGAGGATCGCGAGATCATGATAGCGAGCGCGAATTTCGGACGGAAATTGGCGATCCTCTGTACCTTCTTCACGTACAGCGGCTTCATCTTCTACAATATCGTTATACCGATCTCGCGGGGCAAAGTAACGGCAGAAGATGCGAATATCACCTTCATACCACTGGTGTTCCCTGTGTCGAAATACGCTGATGCACGCTACAGCCCTATGAACGAGATCATTTTTTCACTTCAAGTGATGGGCAGCTCGCTGAGTTACAGCGTAGCATCGGCGGCTTGCAGTTTAGCAGCTGTCCTCGCCGTTCACACTTGCGGTCAAATGCAGGTGTTGATGAACTGGCTGAATCATCTGATAGACGGCCGGCCAGACATGAGCGAACGTGTGGATGGCAGAGTCGGCAACATCGTGAGACAACATGTTCGAATCCTCAAGTGTGTAATTGTTTTTTCTTTTTTTTTTTTTTTGTTATTTGCTCTTGCAACCTTGTTATTTGGTAATGAGAGAATTTAATTTGCCGCGCTTCGTTCGACGACGATTGCGCGTAACGATTGTTCGGTGATTTCAGATTTTTGACGCTTACAGAGAAAACGCTGCAACAGATATCTTTCATCGAGTTCCTGGGATGCACGTTAATCATATGTCTGATCGGATATTACCTGATCGTGGTACAGTGTTTTTCACGAGCTTTGCTTTAAGATCGAGATCTAACGTTTAATCACGATGGTCCCTGATATCAAAACAGAGTACAGAATTTTCGTTTGACATTGTAGGAATTAACGTCGAATGATGTCACGAGCGTCGTTACTTACCTGATTTTATTTTTATCATTTACATTAAATATTTTCATATATTGTTATATAGGCGAGATTGTTGCCGAAGAGGTGAGATATATTTTCAATAAATTTTCTATTAATTACGTGATGATGCGAAAATTTCTGTGGTCGTTGTGAAAAATGTTTTAACAACAACAAATCGTACGACAGTGTAGGAAAATCGGCGAAATATCGTACATGATCGAATGGTATCGATTGTCAGGAAATAAGAAGTTGTGTTGCATTTTGATCATCGCTATGTCGAACTGCTCAACACAATTAACAGCTGGAAACATCGTCAAACTGTCTATAAGCACTTTTTCAGAAGTGAGTACTATTATCAGTATACTTACATCGTCATAAACGTTATATCATTATGTTTTGTATCAACAGGTAGTTAAAACGTCGTTTGCTTTTTTAAATATGCTACGTACGGTGACGTACAAATGAACGTCTTTTTGTTTTTGGATTAGAATTTGGTGTAGAATTTGTCATAACAATTAATGTTACTATTTCTGTTTAAAATAATGTTAAAAATAATAATCCTCTTTTTTGTTAAATTCAAGTATCGTCTGATTCCGTTGAAACCTACGAAAACCAAACGGACGACTTAATGACACTGTCCAATCCTCTTCATAATTTCATCTTTTTATGAAATGAGATAATAATTCGTACGTAACAACTCAGGACTGCAGTTGAAGGACACGATATTTTTCGACGTTCTACGAAAGAAATGCAATATAATGTCAATTAATTCCACGTTACCATGTAAAATTAGTAACATTTTTATCTGACTTTTTTACACTCTTCGT